GGGGGGGGGGCCAGCGCCCCGCCTGTGCAAGGAGCTACCGCTTGGACATGAGTCATTCTCCCATACTGACCATCTCTCCCCTTATAAATTCCTCTGGCAGGCCTCGCCAGAGTGCTCCATCGTCCTTTCAAAAAGCATCCACATTGATGTATCTGAGAATTCGTCCCGCCATGTGTCGGATCGACGCGCCCGCTCGACGCATCGCTTGGCTGCTGATATGGATGCCAAACGCTTTCGCGATCAAGACGGGCGACTTTAGTACTTGGCTCTCGCCTTTGGCTACCGAGCAAGTGAGCCAACTGGAACTGGAAAAGATTCATCAAGCTGCACGGTATCACCGCAATAACCACTGGATGCATATAGGCGAGCCCAGCAATCATTTGGCGACAGCGACCCACTTTGGTGTGAGAGGAGCTAGCTTGAATGGCAGCGTGTCACTGCGCTGATCGTGCACCTCGACCCGCACAGGTGCTGCGTGGTTTGCGAAACGAGCCCCAAGCAAACCAGCCGCTGGCGAGAGGTGCATTCCTCACCAGCGATCTGACACCCTTGCCGGTGTCTGCGAAAGATGTGCTGAGCGGACTGCATGGTCCGGGCAATGTCCCTGAAGTGCATGGAGTTCCCCTGGCCCCTAACCGACGATTCTGGAAGAATGGCTACATGTACGAGAGGGGCAAGCAACCCACACCGAGCGCTAACCCTCTCGATGATCCGACGAAGCGTTACAGCGTTAGGGTCGACCACCCTCTAGGCTTCAACGGTGACTACAAGGATAATTTGTACAGGCAGACTTGGCGAGCCGTGCAATTGTGGCACAATACCCGACCCGAAGCAGAACAGAACAAAGTCCACCACTACAAGGTGCGTGTGCGAGCAGATGCTCTCAGCGTCTGCACGCTGCTTACGTGGGCTAAATATCCGTCTCTGACCGCAGATGCTTCATCTGCTGCGCGAGACGCCCGACAGCGCTCTGTCTCACACAAGAGTGTTTGCATACGATAAGCACGAGCAGCTCATACCGAATAAACAAGACCCAACGACCTACGTGCATCAAGTACCGTTCGCACCGACGCGACCAGCAGCGCGAGACGCCGGCTCCATCATTGGGTCGACACCTGCACGCAATCCGACCCAAGATAGCTACAACATGCGCCGCTTTGGCACGCTTGCGGCCCCACGCGCCTCGGCTAGCGGGAGCGAAAGCTCAACAAAGCTGTCGGCAGATGCGCAACCCTTTGTGCCCAAAGGCAAAGGCGGTCGAGTGCGCCCGAGCTCGCCAAGCACACCTTCGATGAGAGATATTCATTGATCGTGGTTCTATGTAGGTAGCTTCAGAGAGGGGTATTATAGCTGCTGCAACCGCGCCGCGGTTCTGACATCTTCATCTCCATGGAGGATGGCGCCCCGAGGTCACAAAAAGCGATGCACGCTCCCACCCAGCTCGATGCGAGGGTCTGAGGGTGCAGATGTACAATTGATGATCAATCGGATGACGTCCTACAACAACCTCACGAGCGTGTCCCGAACGCCTCTCACGACTGCCATCTTGTTGAAGAGCATCAGACCATGTTACTGGATGTTGTCACAGTTGCGTGCTGCAGGCCCGTCTTGCCATCACCGAGGTGCAGCCCACAGCCTCGGCCCGCTGTTGACCAAAATATGCTGCATGTCATGAGCCTCAGGGTGTAGCGCTCACGTCCGACTAGAGTTCTTGACAGACTCTGTCAAGTCGATGTGATCCATCGTGCGAGCCGGACACACCCAAATCGCGAGGCGGTGTGGCAGACTTTTGAGACTGGCGTGGCAAAACGCGGTCGGCACAGCGCTGCGAGCTTTTCATCACTTGGCGTACAATTGCCACTTGGTCCTCTACGTCGACACGAAAAAATCCTCCTCTCCGCCACTACGTCTAGCCTTCATCACCAAGCTCCGAGACGCTACGCAAAAAGCAACAATAGAAGTAGGGACTCGCCACAAGGCAAGGACCATGTACGCACGTTGAGATCGGATCACTGCGGAAATGCCCACCAGAGTGCGCGTCACGATGCCCCCCAAAGAAGGCGACAGCTTGCCATCCGCGCCAGCAACCGGCTAGACTGCGACACGACCGTTTGCGGCCCCGATGGCTCACGCCAAGCAGGCCGGTCGGGGGAATGCTTCAGTGCGATGGGTTGACAACAAAATTTCTCGGCGTAGTGTGGCATTCCTCTCGCAACACGCATCTCTCAACCAACCAGTGAGGGCAACATGACTCCAGCGCTGTCTCGGCTCAGTGCGCGCCACACACACGCTCGCAAAGCTGACAATACATGCGATCGAGCCCGGCCTGCCGTGCGACTCGGCAATTTTATCTATAAATGAAAGCCGCAGTACAAGTTCACGGATCCTCACTGTATAGTCGTTTGTCCGCTCAGCTCGCTCTCGTCACCTCCGAGAAAGCCAGCGCATTGACAGGCATTCACAAGCGTTTCAATGTCGCTTCGCATCCGTGCCTCGTTTGGTGTGGCATGCGCTGCCTTTTTGTCGGCGGTAGCAACCCTTGTACTTGGCCAGCCTATACACGTGTACCCTGCAGAGGGTCTAGCCGACGGGATAACAGACCAAGAGCTCAAGAACATTGCCCAAGCAGCCGCATTTCACAAAGACTGGCACTGGAAATCCATTGGGCAGAAGACGAATCATTTGGCAAAGGCGACAAAGTTCGAGGTGAGCGTGCCGAGCGCCGTCTAAATGCGGCGCTCATCGACGAGTCTTGCTCTCAGAGGATTGTCTGATCTGATACGTTGCGTGCACCGATGCTCAGGTCCTGCGTGGCTTTCAGCTCGAGCACGACCCCGTCGCGCCTACCGGTCGACAAGCATTTGTTCGAGGCATATTCAGATCAGACGAGGACAAACCCTTGAACGTCGCTCATCAGGATGTCAAAGACGGCAAACACGGCGACTTGGCGTCTCACGCTCACGGGGTTCCCCTGGCTCCTTATCAGCGCCTGTACAAGAATGGCTATCGCTACGAAAGGAATGCGGCACCCAAACGAAGTGATGGGCCCAATTTCAATCCGCAACAGCGAACAAGCGTTTTTGTCAAGCCGCCTTTGGGACTTGGTCCACAAGACCACAAAGCGGAAAAGCTGGCTTGGGCGGCTGTTCAGCGCTGGCATCACAATCTCAAACACTTGAATGCAAACGACGTGCATCACTACGAGGTGAGCGAGATCGTGGAAAGCAGGCGACGCGGAAAGCAAATGACACCCGGCCAAACCACTGCACCTCTTTGCACTGTCAGATGCTTCACTTGCTGAAACCGCATCCCGAGACGGGAAAGGCGTACACTTCGGTCCTCGCTTGGGATCATCGGGAGCGCCTGCTCTCCAGCCAATCCAAGCCGGGCACGTATGTGCACGAGGTGCCCCTGCTGCTACCCTCGCCAGAAAAGGATGGAGCCGAATCCGTCTTGGGACTACATCCATCGGTAGCAAAGAAGATTGCGTCGAGCAAACCTCTCAGCGCTGACGCAAGACCGTACATTCCAGTGTCACAGTCGAGGTCCTCCAACCCACGTGGATCAACAAACGTCGCAGCACCCACGGCACCTACGTCATGACAGACATTGCATTAGCTGCTAGACTACGGGCACGGCAGTAAGTACTGCCTGGCGAGGGTGGATCACACGAGCCCACGACGTAATGAAAGGCGCGGTAGAGTCAGCGCCGGAAATCACATTAAGCGCAGTGGAGATTTACTTATAATGGAGCACGCGCAATGGTGTCACGACAGAATTGAGCAATGGCATGCAGTCAACGTCTCCGTAGCCGAGCGCTACCGCTCCTTCTGACCCCTGACTCGCTGGCTCAAGATCCGTCTTTTGCGTGTCACGTGGACCACACAACGCCTGACGAAGAGCACGCTGTGAGACTCGAGGCTCGGCGCCATTCTCCTACACGTGCGATTGACGTGATCTACTCCCGATCGCTTGCAAGAGATGTCGGCGATTGTTCGCGAACGTCGCTGTCGCCAAGCCCGAGGCTCTTCTCAGGCGGTCTTTGAATAGGGGATGAAGAGGCAGCGCTGCTCAATTTGGGCTTGCCTAGGATGGATAACAGCAGACGCGAGGTGCCATGGACCAAACCGTGGTCGCGAATGGATTCGGCTTCTTTGCGCAACGATGCGTCCCTGCCCGAAAAAGCTTCTGGCGCTGCGCTAGGCTCGCGCGGCCTCTTGGCAGGTACGATTTCCCAGACTTTATCGCTGGGCACCTTGCCCCATCGCAATAGTCTACGTTGACGCGACAAGGTTCTGGCGCTCCCTTGTCCAAATCCCAGCGGTCCATTGTGGTAGTTTTTGCTCGGCTTGGGCAGTAGAGAGTCGACTTCATCCGCCGGCTGTCCCTCGCGAGTCAAACGCTGCTTTTGTCGCCACAATGTCCGAAGCGAACCCTCTCCGAGCGCTTTTCTGGCGGGGCCTCGACGTTTCATGCCTGGCCAAATCTTTTCGACCAAGTCAAATCGTTGAGCGTTTTTCAACATCTCGCGGTGCCCGTACTGCACTCTGGGTGGTCCTGTTCCGATGGGCACTTTGGCAAATTTGCCCTTGAGAAGCGCCTGTGCTTCCTCTTTGGCTTTCAGCAGCTCTTCTTCACCAGATCTCTTCTGGAGGGTTGTTATCGCAGGTTTCTGGGCGACGTCTGACGAGGCAGTGTCAACTGCTGATGATCTGGCAGAAGAGGGCGCAGCCCAGGGCTTCGGAAAGGTGGTCTCGTACTGCCAGGCAGGTCTCGCCTTCCGCGGCGTTCTTGACGGTCTTTGATCTTGCGGCTCTCTCGGGCTTGGCGCGGCGTCAGGTAGAGTGGACTGCTCCACCGATGTGGTCGGTGCATCCTGCCGCGGCCGAGGTGCATTGGCGTCACTCAAAGGCTGATCGACGACTCGATTGGCTCTCCATTTCTTGGCCTGGCCGACGAGCGCCTTTAAACGTTCCGATCCTTCGTAGAGGCCCTTTTCGCGAAGTCTGGAACCCTCTCTGAGCAGCAGTTCGTGTCTGTAGGCTCCCGTACTCGACTTGCCTCTAAATGCTGGCACGAAATTGTCCACCTCCTTTTGCCTCTCTGGATACTTCCAAGGGACCAGAACATGGATGGCGTCGTTGTTGAATCCGCCTATTCTCAACGCTGTTCGCTGCCGGGTCAGTGTGCTATGATTTCCCTTTCCCCAAGGGAGAGGCGCCTTTCCCGAGTTTTGCCTTCTGCTCGGTAGCTTGTCGATCGACTCGGCTTCGCCATTCTCTACCCGCGCCCTTTGACGCTGCCGCCACAGGGTGATCGGCCTACCAACTCCCGTGGGCAGCTTTGGTCTGCCGCGTTTGCCTCGAGGCTTTTCCTGGTCCGTGGGCAAAGCGCCCCCATTGGCCTGACGCTGTCGCCAGAGGGTGGACTGGGAGCCAACGCCCAGCGGATTCTTCTTTCGACCGGCGTTGAATTTCGAGGAGGTCGGCGCCAGCGCACTCGCGTCACGCGACGAGCTAGACTCGCGCAAGGCGCTTTCGCCACTCTCGACTTGTAGCGGTGCTGGCTGCGGTATCGCAGCAGAGGTTCGAGTCTCGCTGGAAGCGCCAGCGTGAGCGGCCGCTATCGAACTTTGAGGCGCACTAGGCAAGACATCCACCGCGGAGCTGTACGCCAGAGAGGATGCACCAGTCTTGGCAGCCTTTTCAGCCTGAGCACCGACACTCAGCAGATCGCCTTCCGCAAGCCCTTGCTCTCGAATCCGTTGCGCTTTTCTTACCGTGCTGCCGTAAACTTTCAACGTAGAGGCTGCGTAAGGGGAAGATGCGTCTTTCATATGTGCACCAAGCCTACCCATACTGCGATTTCCCGGAACTTTTTCCCAGACCTCATCTTCATTAAAGTTTGCCAGCCGCAAAGCCTTGCGATCCCTGTACCGCCGATCGGCCGCTGCACGCAGCAGCCGATGCCTTTGCAGTCGTTCGTCAGTCATTTGGGATTCGGACAAGCGCGACCTGCCGTCCGGCAACACCTCGGCAACGTCACAAGCCGCGTCTAGACCTGCGAGCCGTTTGCGCTGGCGAGCGATCGTCTTTTGACAGCCTTGGCCTAGCGCTATGGGCTTCGGACCGTGCTTTACGGTCCGGGAGCGCCATGCATCGTACGCGGCAGCCGCCTTTTCGATTGCTTCGGGTTCTGGTGGTGCACGTTTCTGCAGCCGAACAGCTTGAGATTCGTTGGGATCTACGTAGGTGACTTGAGAGCGAGGTCTTTTCGCCTTGTTTTGCGACTGAGCATTCGGCGCATTTGACTGCGCCGGCGAGCTCGCTTCGATCTTTGCGGTGCCAAAGCCCGGGCTCAAAGGCTGGAGTCGACCTGCGCGAGGTCTCGCGGAAGAGGGTGCTGCATGGTCAAGCGTGCTTGCAGCGAGAGCCGTGCGGTTGGCCTTGCGCCTTGAGCGAATCTTTTTCGCTTGCCAGTGCGATGGCAGTGGCTGAAAAGCGTGAGCAGGCTTGGTTGCCCGATTCACGTCGCGCAGGGCGGATGGCAGGTAATCGCTGGCGTCAGACGACGCGCCGTCGGTGTCGTCATCGACCCATGGCCTCTTCCGCACTTGACGTCTGGCACGATTTGTGGCCAGCGCTGCTGGCCCCGTGACGGAGCTCATGGCAGGTGACGCGCTCGCATCCGCCCGTTCCACAGGCTTGCCAACGAAGCGAGCCGCCGTGGCGAGGGCATGCGCTCGCTGAAAGAGGGACCTTTCGGCGTCCGAGGTGGGCTCATTGTCCCAGTGCAAGTCTTGGAGCTGGGGCGCAATGGCTGCGAGTCCATGCTCTTTCACCTCCGCCGCCTTTCTGTCTCGCCAGTTGTACCATGAGTTTTGAGCGGATGATAACTTGGCAGGACTTGGCCGTTCGGCTTTGTATCTCGAGGCTGATCGCGAACCAGGGACGACTTGCCAGACATGCTGTTGGAGGGACCCCGCTTCGCGCAGGATGCTGCGGACCTTCCACCTGGCCAGAGTAGTTCTGCGCTTTGCTTTCCAAGATGGCCCGGAATCAAGGAAATTTGCGTGACTGCGGTGAAACTGTTTGAGCTCATCGGCAAGACCGGACTCTTGAGCCTGCTTTACGATTCTCATTTGTCGAAGTAGAGTGCGCTCCCCTCCCTCACCGAACGCTTTAGCAGTGCGCCCGGGATTGTCCGGGCGGTGACGCCGCGAAGCCTGCTGTACCAGCTCATAGACTGCCTTTGCCTCGTTCAAGGCTTCCTCGCTCATTTGCTGACCTCGCTTCGCCAGGCGGGAGTTTAACGCAGGTCCTGCTTGGCCGAGGAGCGAACCTTTGGAAGAGGCTGCGTCGGGGACTTCGTAGCGGGGAGTCCGGGCTTTGCGAATTGTGTTGACATGCCAAGCAGGTCTGGACAAGTCGTGCGTACGAGGTGCGCTTGCGCTGATGGATGATTGCGTGGAGTGTGTATTTTTTGGCGCGTGCGGGACGGCTTGAGGAGATGCCGCGCGGAGCGGGGCGTGGGACGAAGATGCATGGCTTTGAAGCGCTGCTCGCGGCGTGGACGCACCATCGCGAGACTCTGAAAATGCGGGCGCTTGATCGCGAATCGTAGCGAGTCGTTGACGTTGCCTTTGGAGGGTTTTCCATGACCCTCGGCCGGTCGGTAAGCGCGGCCGACCTCGAAGCGGCTCGAGATCGTGCGACAGGTTTGCTGAGCGCGATTTGTATGGGCCATGACCCCGTTCGACTGGTGTCGAAGTGTCGATGCGCTGACCATCGACGCGAGTGTGGGAGCGCAATTGTGGATGCACTTCCAGCGCTCGATCGAGCAGACCTAGCGCGCGGAGTATCTTGTGCTGACTATAGAGCGTCCGCCTGTTGCCACTGCCCAAAGGTCCTCGATTTGCGTGACCAGCACGATATAGCAACTCGACTTCGTCCGCGCTCAACTCGGACACTGGTTTCGATTGCAGCTTCCTGGCCATTGCCTCTTTTCGATTCCTCTCGTGCTGCACTCGAGTGCGATAAGCGGGGCTCCGGGCAGCCTGGGAGGAAGTCTGGCCTGCCAGTGACTCTGTGATCTTTAAAGATTCTGAGACTGCATCCTCGCCCGCACCTCGACGGCGCAAGCATCTTGGAAAGCACGTCGACAGTCCATCGCCGATGGTTCGCTTGGCGATGTGCGAGTCATGTCGATCAAACGACCACTCTGCTGCCACGCTCGCACACTGCGTAGCAGCAAAGAAGAGGAGCAGAT